ATAAATGCCAGAGTTTAGTTCAAATAAGGTATATAAACTTCCAGCATGTATATATAATGCAGCAAAATAATTTTCCAGTTTACAAATAATAAATTTAGGAGTTCAACAATCAAAAATTGATTATTTAAAATATGATTAAATTAAAGTTGTAAGCGTCGGATATCATTGACCATAAAGTCGACCCTAAAAAGGCAAGTGTAAAATATAATGTAACCGTATAAAAAAGTGGACATTAAAAAGGAGAACTCCTTACCTAAGTGAAAGGATGCGCTTTACCTCGTTGGCATTCAAGCGCCAAGAAGAGTTCGTCCAGTAGAAAGTTACTTCATCAACCTAGCAGAAATGATATTGTACAGCTTATTAATAATATTGATCATATACCTAAATTATGCAATAGATAACTTCAAGTAAATTACCTTATCCAAATTGAGCAATGTGCTAATTTGCAAAAGCCTTGTGAAATAGTCTCGAAGTGGTGATGAAGAGATGGAAGTTAAGTAGCTAAGAAGAAAGCGCAACTCCTTGTCCAACTGTATGCCACCAAGCTTAGACGATTTCGGAACACAAGAATAAAATTGCGTAATAATAGGAAAGCAGAAAAAAATTTAGTAAAAAATGTTATTAGTCTTATTGAGACTTCCTGTCTCATATGAAAAATATGGGCAGATAGTGATAATCAAAGTGTTCAACTGCTTAAATGGTATCTCTTTAAATCATTTTACTGTGGTCTTAAAGAAGAATACGATAAGAGAAAATTGCTCAGACGATATTTGTTAGATAGCAGATAAAATCCAGAAAAGGACGCACCAGGAGTGAAACACTGCGATGAGAACTTACACGATGAAATTAGCAGTCAAATTCCAAAGCAATTCTTTGATTTCCGGTAGGGCTCATTTACGAATTTCTTGCAACCAGCTGGTCATGAGAAACTAAAAGCCTAATCAAGTGATGAGGTCATGTCTTTTATCTGATATACATAATCAGAGCTAGAATCCATTGTTAAAAATATTTGAAGCTTTAACTAATCTCTTGATGATGTAGGACAAACTTTACATCTTTTATAACTTTTCAGAACTATCAAAGGTCGCTTGTGACTCGCACAAATAAAAATATGGTTACGATGATACCAAGTAACTCATTATATATCCCTTCTAAAGCGATATTTTGAAGAGTATATATAGCAGATAGAGTTGAGCTTGTAGTTTCATTCATTTTTTGCTGAGTTTGATGTTAAGAATTGTGCCCGGCTCAAACGATATGACGTAGTAATAAAAATCGAAAGAAATTTTTTTGAAAATGCCTTAGCAAAATCAAAGAGAAATCAGCCGTCTTCTTAGATATTCGTGCATCCCTTGATACGACCACTTCAGCTGCCAGGTTTTGGTCTGGCTCTCTCATCTGTCTCTATTGGATCTGGTTTTATAACAAGCCATAGACTCAATATAAGTGCATAATACTCGATGAATACCTCGATTACTGTTTGCACATTTTCATTGTCCATCCAGTCTTTCTAAAGTTGGCATAGAAGCTGTAGGACTTGTGGATGAAGTCATATTCAAAAAGAAGCAATCATAACACACTTGCAGCCATTGAATCACAAAATCTCAAGAAAATAGTCAGAAAGTCGACAAAACGCCAGGATTTGGATTTGGCTCTCACTTCATTTATGTACAAACCTAATCCACCCAAAATCTTTTTAAAATTTGTACCGAATCCACAAGGATATCTCAATGCATAAATAGTAGGAGATATGAAGACTAAGATGGTGTGGACCCCAATGTAGTCGCAGACTTCTACAATAGTCGAGTCCACAATCAGCGTGTAACCAAAAATTAAAGAGGGCCACGCCTCGCTCAGTTCATATTTTCCCTTAAATTGAAGCAAACCATTGTCTACATAGTTTTATATGGATATGGTCCGCCCAAAAGCTTATCTAATACAAAGTAAAATGTATTTTCGACCTCGCCTAATTCTCATCAGCATTCCAAGGAGGATTAAATATTATAAAATGTGAGATGAGAGAGGCCTGGCTTGCCTTGAATGTCGCGTCTGTCCTGTAATTCACCGAAATCCCTAGACGTGTAGCGGGTTTATGAGCTTCGCCACGATGCACAGGAGCCGGATGAAATAAGCTTTAGGAAGGCTAAATAAAATTCGCCTCTCGTATATAAGCAGTTTCGAGACCGCTAGTAAATCAGTTATATGAGATGTATTCACCCTATTTCGATTAGGGTGATGAAGGACTGGT